AATTGCGTTATATTCAGAGAATAATTACCGTGGCATTCTAACGTTAATGAGCATCACGTGGACCAACAATATTACACACACACACACATAAACACACATACACGAATACATAAAACATCATTACTGTTCTATGAAAAATCATTTACCCGATCTCGAATATTTCAAAACAGGGGGTTGGTATTACATCAGGGTTGCTTTATCGAACAATTTGTTTACATTAAAAATTAAATATACCACACACACACACAGACACAAGTAGAAGAAAAATTAGAACAAATTATTTGAAGAAATATATATATTGTTAAATAAGAAAAATAAAAATACTAAGATTCGATTTAATGTGAATAAACCTTGCCAGAAATATTCTTGTACTAGGGGGGGGGGCTGGGGGAGGGGGTTGGTTTGGGTAGGAACAATTTGTTGTCTCTTGGAAATATTAAAAATAAAGAAAAAAAAAGAAGAATAAAAAAGGAAATAAATTCATCGCTGAGAGTAGAATAAAATTGAATAAATATAAAAAAGAAAACAACCCCAACACTACCCCCCGCCGCGGTGCTTTTTTTTTTTTTATATATACGTTAGAGAAAAAAAAAAAAGGAAAAAAAAAAAACTATATATTATTATTATTATAATAATATCGTAAAATTTTTCGTGTTTCACATAAAAATGACAATAGCAATGGCGTAGTACACACGCATTGTTATTTTTATATAACGGAAATACCGATTCTCCTTTCCAATTGTTATGCAATATTCTGTTATTGCATATTCTACTTTCTAAAATCAGGAAGCTTAGCGTTATAATATACTTACGATAAAAATCTACGAAGAGAAGAGTCAAACGAACAGCAAAAAGAAAAAAAAGAAAAATAAAACGTAAAACTTTGTAACCTTCGAAAATAAATAATAATATTTTCACGTGTAAATGTTTCGTACATTGTTTCTTTTTTATCTTTTTTTTTTTTTCTTCATTTAATTGATTATTTATCAAATGAGATAATAATTATCAATGAATATTACATTTTCTCATATCTTTACTCTTACGAGAACGGTGAGTAATTTTTCTTATTTTTTGTTGTTGTTGTTTCTCTCTTTTACCTTATCCGATTATCTCTAAACTAATTTTCAACGATAATTAATAATTAATAATAGTAATAATAATAATAATGAAAAGATTGTTAACATTGTTAATGCGAATCTGTTGAAAATGAATAATCGAACGTTTCTATTCTTCTTCGTGTGTTCACCTGCACCTTTTTTTGACAAACAAACAAACACAAAATTTCTTAAGGGAGGTAAGAAAAAAAAAGAAAAAAAGGAAAAAAGATAGACATTATTAAAATGAAGAATATAATATTATTAATATGAAGATAATAGAACGGACACGAATAATTGAAAACACATCTATAACGGAATTTTAAATTTTAAACATAACAAATAATAGAGGACACCTTACACTGATGATATCTAGGCTAACAAACACTAGTCTAGATTGAAACAGTTTTGTTGAGGAACTTAAATAATAACGATCAATTTAACGAAGTTTAGATGTATTGTGTTTTGAATATTAATAATAAAAAGAAAAATGTATGTCTACTCAATGAAAATAGACGCTGAACTGTAAAGATTAAGGTAACATGTAAAAAAAAATTATATATTGTATGAGCCTCATGTATGTCGTAATATAAGAAATAATAATAAAATAAAATTTCTAGTTGCTGAATAAGTCCCGAATAAAGGGACGAAACTTAAGTCCGACTTAGTTAAATTAAGTTCTACTTCTTTCATGTCCAAGTTACCTGGTAAATTTTATCATTAAAAATTGTAATTATTGGACGAGAGAAATACTAAATAAATTCAAATTAACATTCGCGAATAATTTACTTAGTATTTCTCTCGTCCAAAAATTACAATTTTTAATGATGAAATTTAACAGGTAACTTGGACATGWAAGAAGTAGAACTATGTTTGATTTAGTTGTACGTTTCGTCCCTTTATTCGGGACTTATTCAGCAACTTAATCTTTACAGTTCTTTTTTCATTGAGTAGACATACATTTTTCTTTTTATTATTAATATTCAAAACACAAAACATCTAATATAATAATATTCTCCTCCTCCTTCTTCTTCATCACCACGGTAAGGATTTGACATTGGCAAATATTTCTGGCCACGAAATTCTTAGAGAAGGAAAGAAAAGAGTAACAGACGAGTGTGTGTTGGGTTGGGTTGGGTGGTGGCAGTGGTGGTGGTAGTGGTTTTAAATTTTAGATAGAGAAGAAAATTTTGCACGAGCCGAAAAGTAGACACGAGGAAAAACGCGTGTGTAAGTGTAAATAATTATATAGTGATACAACGTAACCTACGTAGTTCGCGTCCTCGAAAACTGAAATAGTTATGATGACTTGGCGTTATAATAAAAATGAAGAAAAAGAAGAAAAAGAAAAAGAAAAAAAAAGAAAAAGAAAGAAAAAATGAGAAAGATAGAAAATTTTCTTTTCTTCTTTTATTCTTTTTTTTTTTTTTGATCGTTTAAAAACCACAAGACCACCCCACCACATTTTTACGCGATTTGCATACTTTGCGATTAAAAAAAAAAAAAA